TGGCTGCCCCATCCCTGGCAGTGTTCAAGTCCAGGTTGGACACAGGGGCTTGGAGCAACCTGCTCTAGTGGAAGGTGTCCCTGCCCGGGGCAGGGGTTGGAGCTGGAGGAGCTTTAAGGTCCCTTCAACCCAAAGCACCCTGTGACTCTGTACCTCAGATGACAAAGCCACCGAGGGGATTTCAGTGCTTACACAGCATCGTCCTCGCTCTCTGCACACAGCGTTGTCTTGGAGCCGTCCCGCAGCACGACCATCAACAGGCAGTCGCGGCTCTTCCCCTCGGGCGGCTGCACGTCTGGAAAGGGAAGGGGCAGGATCCAACCTCAGTGACAGATGCCCCCACGTCCCTCCCCGTGCACCTCTCAGGAGATGCCAGGCTCCAAATCACCCCTGGGAGCAGCTCCCACCCCACGTGCTGCTGCAGGATGGAGCCATTAAAACCCACCAGGATGCTGTGCTCAGAATACGGGTTTAATTTCAGCTCCAGCTCCTCTTGCAAGACAATCTCAGAGCAACTCTGGGATCTCAGAGGTTAAAAGCCAACAGGAGCTCAGACAAGGAGCTGACAAGCACAAACCTCCGCCCCCACAGCAGAATGCAAGTGAAAAGGCAGAAAATTGCCCCAAACCCGAGGCCAGGAGGCTGAGCTGCATTGCCTTTGAATTGGCCACATCGCAGCAAGCACCCAAGTGTGTAGAACCACGAGGTTTGTTTGTCTTCCCCCACTCCCAAAGCTCAGTGGGACCCTCTGGCGAGTGTGAACCCTTGGGTTCGTGCTCCCAGTGCCACATCCCAGCGCTGCCACTGCCACTCACAGCCCAAGAAAGGCACTTTGTGCGTTGGCTGACACGGGGCTGAGCTGAGCTGCTGCTTTGTTCTGCTTGTTTGTGCCAGACAGCAATGTGAGGGCTGTGGGATGGTGTTTTGAACAGGCACAAACCAGGAGGAGAGGTTCTCCTCCCTTCCTTTCCTTCCTTCTTCGTTTTCATTAGGCAGAAGCTCTTCCCTGGGAGGGTGCTGAGGCGCTGGCCCAGGGTGCCCAGAGGAGCTGTGGCTGCCCCATCCCTGGCAGTGTTCAAGGCCAGGTTGGACACAGGGGTCTCTAGTGGAAGGTGTCCCTGCCGGGGGCAGGGGTTGGAGCTGGAGGAGCTTTAAGGTCCCTTCATCCCAAACCAGTCTGGGATTCCCCATGGAAAAGCAATAGAAAAGAAGATGCAATGTGCAGCGCTTTCTGGGACCTAGAAGGGGGTGTATTAGGCAGCCTGGATTATTTTGGGGATATCCTAGATGTGCACAAGCAAAGCATCATTTGAAAGGGTTACAGCTCCATGGAGAGCCCTGCATGGGATGGGCCTGGGGACACGAGGCCTGTGGACATGGCTCTTTGCTCACCTCTGCACTCGCGGCCGCTCCTCACATCCCGGCAGCTGTATTTGATGTGGATGCGCCCGTCCATGTCGCGCTGTGTGTCCCTGTGGTACTGC